AATAGCTAAAAAAAAAAAACTAAATGTGTTTTCTATTTCATAAAGCATATGCAAAATTGTTGTTACTATGATGACAGAGTAAAGGAGATCTTCTTATGACTCTTGAGACGTATCTTAGTAAACATTCTTAATAAGGTCTATCATAATACTTCTTGAAATATTTAGGTTTACAAACTCTCGAATTACTATTACTTAATTCCGCTCATGTACTCATTTAACATGTATTCTTAAACCTTAATTTACACACGCACACTTTAACATATGATTGTGGGTTGCACAATGAATTATTACATTATTTATGTTTTTTTTGTTAAAGGTAACAACTAAGGAAAATGGATAATATATAATTAAAAAAACAAAAACAAAACAAAAACAAAAAAAAGCAAAAAAAAATAATGATAATAAAAATGTAAATAAGTTTGGTTTCGTAGCCTCCCTAACCTAAGCAATTAAGCCCTAAGGGGTGCTTTAACACCTAATACCCTAAAGTCAACTGACTTGAGAGTTATTGGCCCAACACTCGCTACATGGGTTGAGGAGAAAAGCTTAAGGGAATCAAACATTGCACTATCTACATATCAGTATATGCGACCCGAATTACTAAGCTCATAGGGGTGTCTCAACACCTAATGCCCTAAGACCAACTAGTCTGGGAGTCATTAGTCGAAAGCTCGTTACATGAGTTAAAGATGCATGATGTTTTAAGTTATATGTATATATATTTAAAAAAATTAAAAAAAAAAGACAAAAATAATAATCCTAACCTAAGGAAGTTAACCTTAAACATTAGAACAAAAATTTTATTTTCTTCCATGAAAAGCTCTATAATTATGTGTTAATATATTGAGTACAAAAGAAAGATTTATTAATATCTTGTTAAAAGATATTGAGTAGATATATAAATTTAATGAGAGTTTGTTTATCTAGATAGATTAATGGAAGTTGAATGATGACTACCTTGCTTTATGGAATTTGCAAAGTATTTTTCTATTTTAACGCTTGTTGTAACCCATTTTTGGGTCCCCGCGCAAAAAACAATATATAGAAAAAGAAAAAATAAAAAAAATATATTAAAAATATAAAATAAAATAACTAAATTTAAAAATAATAACACTAAAAAAAAGGGGATGTCAGAATGCTCAGAAAATGGTAAAAAAAAAAAAAATTGGTTAAGGAGGTTACAATTACAAAGATTAAAATTTGGCAGTATTTTGTTGACTGATGAGAGCCCTATTGACAAAGAAAATTCAATTTTAGGAAGAAAATTCCAAAATAAGATGTTTATGGATTCAATTAAATTTTAATAAAGGTTTAATTGAATTTATGGAGGTTTTGATTGCAAGAAAATTTGATTTGTGAGTTAATTTGGGCTTTTATTAGAAGAAATTAAAGTTCTAGGGTCAAAAATATAATTTTTGAGAGTTAATTTGGTCAAATCAGGGGCTTAATTGCATAAATATTGAAGTTTGATGGCCAATTAGGGACTTAATTGAAGAAATTTGAAACCAAGGATCAAATTGTAAAACACGCCCAAATTGAAGGCCTGATTTTAAATCTGACGCGTTTTGGCGTCAATTCTCATTTAAATGAAACGACGGGTTTTGAAAAAACAACGTCGTTTCATGCACTGTGACAAAAAAAAAATGAGAAAACTCAAAACGGTGCCGTTTTGAACGGCACCATCATCTTCTTCCCCTGGACACGCAGAGAATAGGGGAAGAAAATGTGTTTTTCTCCTCTGTTTTTGTCGATCTTTTTACCGACATTTCACCTTCAAAAAGACGCCGACATAACCCACTTTCCATGTGCTGGAAGAACAGTGGAGGAGCGGCAGCATAGTGGCCCCCCCAGCCACGTCCCCTCCCCTGTTTTTGCCTATAAAAGCAGGGGAGGCAGAAGCAAAAGGAAAAAAAAAAAAAAGAGAGAAGGAAAAGAGAGGGAGAAAAAGAAGGAGAGAAGGAGACCAAACCCGAGAAGAGAAGAGAGAGAACAAAACAGAGAAGAAGAAGCAAAAAAGTGTAAAAAAACCGAGGAGAGAAAGAGAGGAAAAACACAGCAAAACGCCGGCCACCGTGTCTCCGCCGCCAGCAGCACCGCCTCGACGCCAATCCCAGGTAACCTCTGACTGCCCTGTCTCCTTTTCCTTTGCTTAGCCACCGTCGGCATTTGCATGCAGAATGTGCATTAATTCACGTTCTGCAGCAAATGAGGGGGGGTTACTGTACACGGGACCGACCCATTTGGTTTTGGGTCGGGTCCGGCCCAACCCACTGATCTGGGCAGGGTCCGGCCCATGTAAAAAAAATTAATTTTTTTTATATTTTTATATTTTTCTCTTTTTATTATTT